CAGGCCAGCGAGTGATCCTGGGAGGCCCTGGGGAAGGGGGGGGTCCAGGGCCCGAGAGGGCCAGGGAGGAGGATGAACCACGAACGAACGAACCACGAAAATAAAGGCTTCGGCGGCCCAGGGGGGCTGCCCTGGGAGGCTCGGGGGAAGGAGGGGTCGAGGGCTGAGGGAAGCAGGGGCAGGCCAGCGGGTGATTCTGGGAGGCTCGGGGGAGGGGGGGTCCAGGGCCCGAGGTGGCCAGGGAGGACGACGAACCACGAACGAACGAACCACGAAAATAAAGGCTTCGGCGGCCCAGTGGGGCTGCCCTGGGAGGCGGCTCGGGGGAAGGAGGGGTCCAGGACCCAGGGAAGCAGGGGCGGGCCAGCGGGTGATCCTGGGAGGCCCGGGGGAGGGGGGGGTCCAGGGCCCGAGAGGGCCAGGGAGGAGGATGAACCACGAACGAACGAACCACGAAAATAAAGGCTTCGGCGGCCCAGTGGGGCTGCCCTGGGAGGAGAGATTCCAGGGCCCAGGGAAGCAGGGCAGGCCAGCGGGTGATTCTGGGAACCCCGGGGGTGGTGCAGGGCCCGAGGTGGCCAGGGGCAGGCCAGCGGGTGATTCTGGGAGGCTCGGGGGAGGGGGGGGTCCAGGGCCCGAGAGGGCCAGGGAGGACGACGAACCACGAACGAACGAACCACGAAAATAAAGAGGTCCGAACTCTAGAGCACAGCTGTGCAAGAGAATAAAGAGGTCCGAGCTCTAGAGCACAGCTGTGCAAGAGGATAAAAGGAGCAGCAGCAGGAGGGCGAGGAGGAGGGGGGGCAAGAGGGAGGAAAGAAAGGGAGGAACGCCAGAGCTCGGGAAGAGGGAGGACCGATCGAGGGGGAAGAGAAGGAGTTTATGAGGGGATTTGGAACTCGTCTGGCTCGCTGCGACCTGACTTCTCAACTTCTGCTCCTGCCCCGCCCCCCTCTTCGACGACGACGACGACGACGACGACGACGACGACGACGACCACGACGACCACGACGACGACGATGACGACCACGACGACCACGACGACCACGACGACGACGACGACGACGACGACCACGACGACGACGACGACGACGACGACGACGACCACGGCGACGACGACGACGACGACGACGACGACGACGACGACGACGACGACGACGACGAGGGCGGCGACGACCGCGGCGGCCGCGGGGCGGCACGGGCGCCTCTCCGCGCTGCTGCTGCACGCCGGGGCCTCGGCCCGGGGCCCCGAGCGGAGGGCGCGCCGCGGGGGGGAGGAGGAGGAGGAGGCGAGGAGGAGGAGGAGGAGGAGGAGGAGGAGGAGGAGGGAGGAGGAGGAGGAGGAGGAGGAGGGGGAGGAAGGGGAGGACAGGGCGGAGGGGGCGGGCGCGGGGTCCAGGCCCCGAGCCTGGACCCGGCCGCCCGCCGGCCGCCTGCCGGCCGCCTGCCGGCCTCCCCCTCCTCCGCCTCGTCCTCGGCCTCCTCCTCCGCCTCCGCCGCCTCCTCCTCACACCTCGCTCTCCATCCTCCTCCTCCACCTTCCGCTCCTCGACCTCCTCTTTGGCATGCCCTCCTCCCTCTTCCCTCTTCCCTCTTCCCTCCTCCATCCGCCCTTCTTCCTCCCTCCTCCCTCCTCCTCCACCTCTTCCTCCTCCTCCTCCTCCTCCTCCTCCTCCTCCTCCTCCTCCTCCTCATCATCATCATCATCATCATCATCATCATCATCCCAACTCCCTTCTCCCCCCGACCCCCTCATCCTCATTCCTCACTCGCCCTCCTCCTCCTCCGTCTCCCCCTCCCGTAGCCAATCCCGCTGCTGAACGCAAGTCATTCGCAAGACAATCTACTATGCACTTCAATCGGTTTAATTCAAACGCAACTGATTGGTAATCACGCGCGCCGATCATTGCAGTGCGAATGTGTTTGCCCTGCTTGCGCATTGAGCGACTCAGCGCGTGGCTGCTGAGGCATCCCTGTACTGTTTGCAGTCGTCCGAATCGCATTGTGAATATCGCTATTTGCGCCCTGGGGGAGTACTATACAATGGGCGGATTGACATCATTTAGACACGATCCTGCACCATTGCGAACACTTACAAGCATCGCCAAGCGCATTGCAATGCATGAGAATCCTGGCGAACCCCAAACCCATCAACTGACCGCAGTGCCCGATGACGGGCCCCAGAGGCCGAATCAGAAGAAACGCCTGGATTGAGAAAAAGTCAGCCCGTCGGAGACCTGGGGAATTTTGTCCTCCTCTGCCTCTCAGTGAAGACGACGGCCTCCGAGAGCCGACGTTACGAAACAAGTGAAGCATCGAGAAAAACCGCGACCTGAGCCCAAACCCCGATCTTTCCACGGCATTTGTCCAGCGTGATCGACCTGAGAGGAGTACCTGGGCCCGAAACTGGCCGAAAACGCCGTGTGTGAACAAAGGCGCAACGCCAGGATCTCAGGTCCTTGCCCTTCTCTCAACGAATACAACGGCGACGACGGCCGAACGGGACTGACCAGCGATTTGATGTTTGCCTATGCGGGCTCCCCGAAATCCGAACCCGTTCCCCAGGCGGTTCCGAGACCCGGCGAGGGCCCCCAGAGGCCGAAACCGACTGAAAGCCTGAGATTTGATTACCCCAGCAAGTCATCACACCCCCTAGATGGGAATAATATGTGTATCTATATATATATGTATATATATATACATACATACATACATATATATATATATATATGTATATATATATATATATATATATAAGTTGTTCCCTTCGGGTTTCGAGGGGTGTATCCCCAGCTGGGGGGGCAATTTAGTGGGGGTCTCGAAGGGGATGGGGATGGGGACGGGGATGGGTCAAACCATACCGAATCTAAACGCTGGCCCTGAGACGGAAACACGATTCCTGAAACGATTGAAAGGCAATCTCTCACCAGCCTGGAACATATCCCTATCCCTATGCTGGGCACCTCCTCATCACAATGCCAATCTTAGGGATTCCCTTATTTTTTGAAAGCGAATACATAAGATTGTCATCGCCTTTTGGCGTGTCAATCTTAGGGATAGGGATACGTTCGAGGCTGGTAAATCTCGGGCAGAACGGCTGCACGACCGCTTCCACGGCAAGCGGCCTCGGGCTCCCCGTCTCCCTTTTGGGACTCTTCTGCGATCCTTGTGGGGCCTCGCCTGACGAAAAGCTGTTCGGGAGTTGTCTCCATGCGTTGGTGGTGACCTTCTAATGTTCGGCCCAGGTAGAAAAGATCGGAGGATCGCGCAGCAACGCCGATGCATTGCCGATGCGTCAGCGATGCATAATCGATGCATCGGCGATGCATCGGCGATCCATCGGTGGTGCACCAGCGACGTCAGCGCTGAGCAAATCCCGTTCCGCATCGAGCCGCATCGCCGATGCATCGGCGATGCGGCGCAGTCCTCATCCATGATAGGATTGGCTCAGGACATGTTTCAGGAATTCCACTGACTCTAGCGGCCCTCGTTCCTGCAGCCCGTGTGGAACACTCGGAGATCTTGGCAACAGCATCATTATCATGACTTCTTCCTTCTCTGACCAATTTGCTCTGGCAGACCTAGACTCGAGGACCGACCCCAACGATGTTTATACAAAAATGGAGCTTGACACGAGACAAACAAAACGAAGCCCAATGTTAAAAAACGAAGGCTGAAACGAAACAGGTACCAGACGAAACGAAGCACGAATCGAGGCGTGCAAGACAAAAACAGACCAGACGCCACAACAACTCAACACGAAACGATCGCAAAAAAAAAACAAAGGCCCAGACCGAGCTGCACAGCGTTGTGGGTGGTGTCTTGGACGACGGCGGCGGCGGGCCGATGATGGCCGACGGCGCCGCCGCCAGCGGCGAGGCCGAGCCCGGCGCCGACGCGAGCGGGCGCCTGCCGGCGAGGCCGGCAGGCGAGAGGGCGCCGCCGGGGGCGGGCGGCGCTGAGGGGCCCTCGCCGCGGCTGACCTGCCGCGGCGTGCTTGGATCACCGCGGGGGCGGCCGAGAGGAGACGGGGGCTCGCAGAGGACGCTGAAGTGGGCCAAGTGGGCTGTCCTGGCGCGGCGTGAGGACGTCTTGAGCTGTCTTGATACGTCTCTGGGGCCCGCTGGAGCCCCCAGGACACTACGCGGCGTCGGCCGCCCGCCTCGCAGCCCCGGAGTCGCGTCGCCAGGGACTTGCACATGTGTGTAGATGAGCGAACTGTAGTTCATATTTACAATTTCTGCATCTATGTGTGTATGAATATACATGTGTATTTATAGGTATATGTAAACGTATAGGCTTGTGCGACCATGATTCTTGGTAAATAACAATACGCAACAATTTATGCATCGGTGCATTTCAATGTGTATCAAACTTGCGCGGGGAAGCAACCGAGGCCGCGCCAAAAATGCCCGGAAGGAAACTGCGTCAGAGATGCGTGGACAGAGGCGACCGAGGCCGCGCCAGGGTTGCCGAGAAAGGAACTGGCGAAGAACTCTAAGATAAAAAATGTTCATTATGCAACGCACACGCAGGCGCTGATAAGATGCGTGAATCTTTTATTCCAAGACCTTCTCGCTGCAAATGATAAGTTATGATAGCTGGTAGCGTTAGCAAAAGGGGGCCCCCTCAGCCAATATGTTTACGGGCAGAGGGGTGAGAGCATGCAACAGCAATAGCAGGGACCAGCATTATCAGATAAACAGAATGACTATTGCACTCCTGGAGTTCTCTCTGGTCCTGCTCTGAAACTCACAATGCGGCCTGGCTATACAACGGGCTTGTTTGCAGCACGGACTCGGATTAGCACAAAATGAGACAGTAACTGAATTCTTTGAGCGGCCAAGGATCGGCAGCTGAAATCAATAAACCGAAACTCGATACCGGCATCCGGAATCGGTGGTATCTTGGGCAAAACCAAGCGGATGGGAGTGAAACGCGACCCCCGGCACGTGCAAGTGGAAAATCATATCACTTCTTCTGTACTTGGCCATCCCCACCGGTCAGCTCCTCGCAAGCAATCGATTCCACGAGCGAAAGCACTGGGTCCGCCAAGAACTCGGTCAGATTCTCGCGAAGCTTCGGATCCTCCTTGGTCATGCCGTCGGCTATCATGTGCGTCGTAGGGATCCACCTGACGTTCTTGACCTTCACCTCGTCACGAATGGAAATCACGTCGATCACAGTACGTTTCTCAGACAAACTCGGGGTGAGCTGGTGGAGGGCATCGTACAGAGACTTGCAGTCGGTAACGGTGATAACCTCGAAGATCGGTGGGTGTCGGCCAGCAGGCCGTCCGGTCAGCATCTCGGACAGGAACTTCGACAAGTACGACGCGTTGTCCACTCCCAGGTCCTGCGCGATAGCTTCCCCAGCCAGCGTAGATCTCACCACTCTCGGCGTTCTCTTGGACTTGTGAAACAAGAGAGTACATGACGTGGGTCCGGTGAGTATCACCTCGTCTGCCAGAAAGATGAGGGTGCCGATCTGGGTCTTCAATCCAGGAGCATTCGCCCATGAGCTGTCTGCAAAACTCACGAAGCAGGCGCGGCTCAAATCGACGCGGACGATCAGGATGCCAGTCTGGGCTGTGCGGTGCGCGTACTCTACGTGCTTCATGGCCATCCGTAGGTCGTTCAGCTCGGGGTCGGTCCTCTGGACAAGGGAAACCGCGGCTGACAGGTCTGGACGTGTGTGTCCGGACAACCACTGGAGCGAACCGACAGCAGACTCCAGATCTTCGCGCTCCGAGCGCGTCAGCTTAGAAGAAGACCGAGTGCTGGACATAACTCCAACCTTCGTGACTGCAATCGCCTTAGTGTAGGCCGCTTGATGAACAAACAAACTTCCACTGTACGGACCTTGACGTAGGCGCTGGTACTCCTCGCCGAGGAAGACGAAGTTGTCCCACTGCCAGCCTCGCCATTTAATAGCCTTCTCGATCGGTGTGAAGTCGAACTTGGGATGGTGTGCCGCAAGAGCATCGTCCACGTGCATACCCACTGCGCAAGCCAACTCGTTGTTCGGAAAAAAACCACAAGAAGAGAGCTGAATCGAGGCTGTGGAGCTTGCCGCCCAGCGCCAGGAAGGTCGTCACCACGTGCTTGTACCGCAGGTACGGCGCCGTCGACTGACCGTACAGGTTGCCAACCACCTCGTAGAGCGGGGCGGTGAAGACTCCGGCGGCTTGAACTATCGGGTCCTTGGGCGGAATCATGTAGATCGCCTCCTCGCGCTCACTCTGTGCGCCTCCCTGGAGAAAGGCGCTCTCCGCGTCTCGGGTCCCGACTCGCCAGTCATTCGAGACCGCGATCTGGCAGATCAGCTTCTTGCCGGCGTCGGTCAGCACCGGGGCGTTACGCGGCAACTTCTCCAGGTCGGGGTCGGAGAACCCCAGCAACGCCGGGCGGGCCTTGGCCTTCAGCGGCGGAAGCCCCAAGTTCTTGTCCCGGTAGCACACGCGCGAGCGGATGCACCGTTTGCGGCGATGAGGGTCATTCCGAACTTGTTCGGCCTCCTCCTGCGAGCAGGCCCGAACGGACTTCCAGGTGTCCCAGTTCTGGCACTCCTTGCGCAAGGCCTTGACGTACTCCATGAACTGGTCCTCCGGGTACTCTGCGATCTCCCGCCAGGGGATTTCACGATCCAGTTGACGCTGCTCGCGTCTCGACAGGTTGTTCGAGTCCGTCGTGTCGCCCACCTGTGCTGTCGCACAGTCCACGTCCATCTCGCCGTCCCTGAGGTCGGAGAGCTCGTGGGAGGTCATGTACAGGCAGTTTGTCCAGTCGTCGTCCGGCTCGCTGTCGTCGATCGGGTCGTTCTCGAAGTTCTCGATGGGCAAGAGGTGCGCCTCGTAGGCCTCCTGGACCTCCGCCAGGCTCGAGAACACGCGGGTCCTGAGCAAGACCGGCTCCTCGACTCCGTCCCAGCCATCCGGTGTGATGAACTCCATCTCGCCCGACTCGTTGGACACGAAGGCTGCTGGGCTCGGTGAGCCCGGTATGTTAGGAAGCTTTCCTGGTCGGGATTTCTTCTCCGGTGGTGGTGCGATAACCGTCGAAGGTGCCGAACCGCTCGATGGTGGTCGAGCTGCGGACGACTCGCGGGTATGAGGTGCTGATCTCCTCGGCGTGGGCGTCGCAGAGCGCTCTCGTGCTCGGACTGGTCCAAACTGAGGCGGTGCTGGCCACGGAAAGGGCGCAACGGGCTCTGGAGCTTCGCCTTCGGCTCGACGCCGGGTACCGCTCTGGCCTGTCGGCGTCGGAGGCTCCGAGGCGTCGGCAAGTTGAGGAAGTTCAGCATCTGGCGCAGCTTCAGGGGCGTCGTCGGCTGACGCGCTCCTGAAGTTCTCTTTGGTAGCGTTGTCTCCCAGAGAGGCCTGCGCGGGCTCCTCCAGGATGGGCTCGAGCGGGGCTGCCGGAACAGGTCCCGGCAGCACTCGTGCTTGCGGATCTTCTGGTTCGGGCTGTTGTTCAGGAGGGCCCTCAATGGTGATGTTCGAAGCGTCGCCCTGGCCGGCCTTCGCCAAGTCCTGCTCGGCCGTCTTGAGCTCCTCGAGGTCCTCCTCGGAAGGGGTCCAGCCCTCGAAACCGATGGCTGGGCGTATGTGTTCGCGGGCCACCTGCACAGCGCGGTGCCCGATCCGCAGCCAGGCAGACTCGCCCTCGCCGTAGCCGTTGGTGCCGGAATCCCAGAAACAGAAAATGCCTGGGCGATGCCCTGCCACGGGCGTCTTGCCCCGTCGCTTGCGACCATGCTCGCCCCAGGCTGCCACGCGCTGTCCCGAGAGGAAGTCGTACTCCTTGCGGTTGACAGGCTGGCGGAGGATGGAGGTGCGCAGCGCCTCGTCGGCCTCCAGGTCGGCGATCGCCTTGAGCGCCTCAATGCGGCATCTCTCCCCGTAGGCCAGCATCTCATCCTGGGTGCAATTGTGCCAGAACTCGGCGGACGTGGTGTCGGCCAAGAGCTCGGTCGGAAGTGTGGGTACCCGTCCGAAGGCGGCGGCATAGGCGGTGCGGCCTGCTCGGCGCACTGACTGGTTTACGGCGTGGCTCGTCGAGATGATCGCGAGGTCCACGTGCTCTGGCATCGTCGGCAGGATGACGTCGATCACCTTCTCGAAGACTCGGCGCCAGGCGTAGTTGCCGGATTCGGCCAGGCCCAGCTGCCAGTGAGCTCCCGGCGGCACGTACCTCACGTCGATTCCCAACGTGTGGCAGTTGTCCATGAACACGGCTTCGAAGGCACCGTCCCGGTCGACAACCAGAATCTGCATGATCCCGAACGGGGTGAGCCAGCACGTCTGGAACTTCTCCCAGACGTCTCCTGGTTCGCGTGAAGCAATCCGACACACCACATGTAGTCTCGTAGCTTTGTCCACCAGTCCCAAGAGCGCGTGCGTCGTACCGTCGTGGGTCATGACGTAGAACAAGTCGCCCTTGACTAAGTCGTTGAACAGACCCACTCTTGGAATCGGTGACTCCCGCTGTCGCTGAGGCCGTTTGCGACGAAGGCACGCCGGGCACCTCAGCGCTCCGGCGCACAGCAGCGTGGCCTGCGAGGCGCCTCTCTGAGCCAGGAACTGGAAGAACTCGCTGGGCACAGGATGCCCCAAGTTACAGTGCATACGAGCGACAAGCTGGCGAACTTCACGAGGACACTGCTCCTTTGTCACTCCAACAAAACGTATGCCAGCCATACCGCCGGACGCGTCAGGCATCCGAGCGATCGGGACGTCCTGCAGGTCGTCGTCCTCATCGGGCGGCAGGCTGTTGTTCGGCAGCATCGGGTCGTTCGGGTCCGGGGGAAGCGGCATTCGCTTCTCTATCTGTGACGTGTCAGGCTCCTGCGGGAGGGACTCCTGCTTGGCATAGCCGAAGAAGAAAACGGCTAGGTCCGCTGGCGGCGACAAGGCCAACGTCGGGAAGGCCACGTCAACCAGGTCCTCGGCTTCGATGTGGTAATGGCCCTTCTCGTCCACGTAGCAGTGACCACGGTGAGACCACGGCTCCTTGTTGATGGGGAACCTCCTTTGTTTGGCTGTCTTCACGAGCTGGATCATCGTGAGGTCCCACGGGACGAGCTGGCTAATCTGTCTCCAGAGCGTGGATGACCTCGAAAGGTAATGCGTGGCCTTGTTCCCGCCTCGACTGGCGGAGCCGCCCACGATCTGTCGGACGCCCTGCATGACCGCCCCCCACCTGGTGGGGTCCTTCTCTGGCGAGGCGAACAGCACCTCGATGGGACCTGCGTGGTTGTAGGCGGCCTCCCACTCGGTAGCCGCGACCGGCATGTCGGCGAACCTGCTCGGATTCCTCTGGGCGGCGACCTGCTGGATCGCGTGGAGCATCGCGTGGGCCATCTCGTCGGTGTACTCGCCGCTGGCCTTTGTCCACTTCGAGTTCTCGATCTGATCGTGCAAGTGGCCCCCGGACTCCGGACGAAGTCCTGGGCAGCGGCGGCTCAGAGCCGCAAGCGCGGGCGGCGAGTTGGAGAACCAGCGATGCGCCTTGCGAATCGGCAGGCCAGTCTTGCCTGTCTTCCCGTACTGGCACCCATGGCCAATAACGGTCTCGCCCAAGGGCAGGAGCGGGGCGAACTGGAGGTCCTTCCAGATCGCTGACGTCGGCGGGTTCTCGAACAAGAAGAACCGGCCATGCTTCACCTGGTACTCGATGGTCCACTTGATCAAGTCAATCAGCCGTCGATCCCGGGCACGAAGTCTCTCAAGCAGCTCGGGATGGTCGACGTAGTTCACATTGACGTTGTAGGAGCACCAGAGCGTGCAGGGGAAGCCTACGATCACGTAGAGTGGCTTGTCTTTCTGTATCTGATCTTTCCATCTCTGAGCACCTCGCGTAGTTTACAAGTCCCAGCCGTCCTCTATGTCGGCGCTCGGCGAGGCCCTCAGCTCAACGTGTGGAGCTAATCGCGTAGGTCTTGCTGTGCCGGCGCAGCCCTCGATGAGGTCGGTGCCGCACGCCTGGCACTCGTTGTCCAGGTACAGGTAGTCGGGCAACTCGGGAACGGGAATGTCCATGAAGGCCACGTCCGAACAGCACCATTCCGCGTCTCGTAAATCGGCAGCTCGGCGATCGGCATCTTGACTCACGTTAATAAGCGTCTCGCAGGCTGCGGTCGTCTTCTTAGCAATGCCGAGAAGGCGCTTCCAGGCGCCTCTCTTCACCATCTCGGTCCCCGGCGCTGGGGAGGCTGGCGCGGAAGCTTGTCCCATCCCTGGTCCGTCTCCTCGCCCTCGGAGGTCCTGTCCAAGTTCTCGTCGTCCTCCTCGTCCGTCGGAACCGCCTGCTCCGAGGGTGACCTTGGCTCCGCCTTGGTCCGCGCACGACCCTGGCTCGAGCTCGCCGAAGACTTGACCGGGCGTTTCGGCATTATTGAAGCAGCTGGCCGAGAGCGCGAGCAGGAACCCAGTGACTTTGTCGAGGTAGGTACGCGAAGAGGATCTTCTTTGTCGCCCACGATCCACTTCCCGTTGACCGACTTCCACCGCCGGCCGCACTGGTCGCAGATCAGCCAGTACCCCTTGGCGTAGTACCTCCTCGGTGTCGGATGGGCGCACGCGTCCCTCTTCTTGCACAGCTGTGAGTAGTTCTGGGCTTGATCCTCCGGTGCCGGCGGCGGTGGCAGCACGCTCTCCGGAACCTGTGCGGCTCCTCTCGCGATCGCCTTCACTGAGTCCGCCATCGGTGTCAGGTAGCCCATCTCGTGGCCCATCTGCGCGATCGTGCCCATCATCCGGTTCGACATCTCCAAGTTCTGCCGGAACTGCTCGCGACTGCGACCGATGATGTGCGACAGGTGGCTCATGATCAGCTGCATCAGGTTCGTCCACGCGTTGATCGCCAGGTTCTGCCTCGTCAGCTGGACTGTGCGACGAGACGATCGGGCCTCCTGCGACTCCGACTTGACCGACTTCATTTACCGACAGACCGAGGATGCTCTCGAACACGGGTGTGGCGTCGGTCAGGTTACAGCCGTCTGGCACGGAGGGCAGGACTTCGCGAGGCTGAAGCAGCCCGCGGTGAGTATATGTAAGAGCACACAGTGCTGCGCGTGAAAACTGCATAGGCTGAGACTCGGCTTGAGCACAACTATCTCCGGAAACGCAGGCTGGTGCCTCTGGGGTCCACTGGGCTCCGGGATGATGACGTCCGAGGGGGTGAACTTCCAGGCCTCGGGCTCCCTTGGGAACCCCACATCCTTCAACCAAGAGTCGACTCTCAGAAGCAAGTGGCCATTCGGGGCAATCTTCAGGGGCACGTCGCACAGGTTGATCTTGGTGAAATGAGCCCTTTCCCCCAAGGTGTCCAGCTGGAGGCCCAGGAGCTTCCACAGCGGTAACGATCCCAAGAAAGGCAACTTAGGGTTCACGTCCAAGACTGAGGTACGGCAAACCAGGGGCACCACATGTTCAAGACATATCGGGAAATACACCACAGATTTGCTCACCGCGCGACTGACTCCAAACCGAAACCTCTCTTGCTCCTCAGCTTCCCAGAAACTCAATCCCAGGTAGGCGGTATGTTCCAGAAACTTTCCCAAACACTCGTAGCCCACAACGTTGCGCTGGCAACCTGCGTCGATGACAATGTAGAAACCCTGGGAATCCTCGAGGAAGCAAACGTCCAAGGGCGCCCGGACATGCCAGATGACGTCGACCTGATGCGATGATTTTGCCCCGCTTCTCGCCGCCTGAGCTCCGCGAGAATCCACGGAAAACTGACGCACTTCTGGCGCTGCCTGAAATCGAACGTGAGAGGCCCCCTTGTCGCTGGTGGCGACCCTGCTCTCGAAGGCGGCCACGCGCTGCTGCAGCTCGTCAGGCGAGAGGTGCGTGACTAAGGCCTCGTGCTCTACCGCATCGGCGGCGTACTCCTCATCGTCTTCATCAGCGGGTTCGTCCTGATCAATCGAGGCATCATGAACGGCGCGAGCTCGATCGTGTTTATCCTTGTAGCCGGTCCTCGATGACGTCTGGCGAAACCCTGGCCTCTGAGATGCCGCCGGTGCTCTTGAATCTCCGGATCGATCCCCCGTAAACGTTCCACGAATGCTTCCTGAAAAAGACGTGCCGGCCGGCGGCGTCGCAGTGCCTCTCTGTGGCGGTACTGACGATGTTTGCGGCGACCTGCCGGGCGGCGCTGGGGGCGGCCGACCCGCAGGGGCGGCGGCGCCACCGGAGGGCGCTGACCGCGGTGGCGGGCGTCGGTCTCCAGGCTTCGGCGGTGAGGACCTTCCGGTCCACCCGCGGCCCAAGGTCAGCTTCTTCAGCTTGTCGCTTGTGACGGTCAAAGCGTCCGCCACCTCCTGCATGACCTGGATGCTGTCAACCTCCTCGGCGTAAGCCTCATTTACTTCTGCTTGATCGGGGTCGTCTTCATCTTCGTTTTCCTCAGCCTCGTCTTCGGGAATAATGTCGGCCTCGCTGACGTGGGGCGGCTTCGGCGCTGGTCGAGGAGCTCGATTCTGTGGCTGTCGATCTCGTCCTTTGCCGCCTCCTTTTATCGTGATCTCGACCAGCCGGCTTGCGTTCAGGAGCGGCCGCCTCACCGAGTCGCTTGCGTGCCATCCGTCGTACTGGAGCAACCCAGTTCGGGGCGGTGGACGGCCACTGCACACTCATAGCCTGAACGAGGCGGTCGAAGTCGTACTCATTGCCCGTCGCGAGGAGGAGGTTGCGCCGAACCTCCGGCGACAAACATGAACTTCGCAACAACTTGAACGCACGAAATTGTCCTTGCTGAGCTGGAAGCTCTGCCCGCTTGAGCCGCATCTCGAGATCCTTGAAATGCGCGACGTACGCGGCCAGCAGCTCACCGGGCAGGCGCTCCACTTCTTCGTACTCTTCCATGAGGTCTCCAACTTGTAGGATCTGCTGCTCGTCAAACACGGCGAGTAAGTTGATCACCAGATCGATGCCATCTTGTGAATACAGACGGGTCCATTCCAAAGACTCGATCATCTCTGCGCCCTCGCCCGTGATGACGTCCGAAAGGTCCAGGGCCAGCTCGGCCATCGGCTTGTAGTGTCGCGCCCTGGCCTTCCACATGTGCACTTTCCGAACCCACTTCTGGTAGTACCTCGGCTGCTTGTAGATACTCTGAAACCGGGCCTCGAGTGGAGGCGGGGCCGGGCACGGTCCTCCGCGCCACTTCTTGCGATCACCACGGGTGCGTCGAAACTCCGCCGAGCTCGGTGGAATCTCCGACTCCTCGTAGTCGTCCTCGGCCCAGTCCTCTTCGGCCCACTCGTCGGCCCATTCCTCTTCGTAGGTCTCATCGTCGGGCGTAGCCGCTGCCGCAGCTCCATCTCGAGGGTGCTTGCCCTTGTATCGACGATCTCCGTACTTCTTCGGTGCGGCGGCACCGCGAGAACCAGCGGCAACAGCAGGTCTCCGGTCAGCCATCGTGCGAGATGTAATATCCGTCGTGATCTGTCCGACTGCACGGGAGTGTCCGGGAAGAAACTGTCTGATGCCGAAAGGGTTCTCCCTGCGAGGGAGCTCGGAATACACGCTCCGCTGCCAATGCAACGCACACGCAGGCGCTGATAAGGTGCGTGAATCTTTTATTCCAAGACCTTCTCGCTGCAAATGATAAGTTATGATAGCTGGTAGCGTTAGCAAAAGGGGGCCCCCTCAGCCAATATGTTTACGGGCAGAGGGGTGAGAGCATGCAACAGCAATAGCAGGGACCAGCATTATCATATAAACAGAATGACTATTGCACATTCAACTGCGGGGATGAACTTCGAGACTCTCCGCTTCTTGGCGCCCGTCACCCATCGCGTGAGAACGCCTTCTGCACGGACAAAACAAGGGGCCGCAAGGTGGTTCTAAGATGGCCCCTAAGGGCCCGAAGAGGAGCCCAAGAGTGCGCCAAGACGGCCCCAGCGCCAAAGAGCTCGTCCACGCCTCCCTCTTGCTGCACATGTTGCCATCTCTCAGACGTCCAACCCCCGTGCATGTGCTGGTTGCGTGCGCTCATTGTATTCGCAAGGTATATATACATATACACACATATACACACGCTCCTCGATGGCATTCCTCAATGTGCTTGTGTATATATCTCTATATCTATCTCTCTCTCTCTCTCACTCTCCCTCTCTCTCTCTCTTTCTCTCTCTCTCTCTCTCTCTCTATATATATATATACATGTACACAGATGCATACATATACCTCCTCCTCCGCCTCCTCCTCCTTCTCCGCCTCCTCCTCCTCCTCCTCCTCCTCCTCCTCGGTCGGGGGGGCCTCCCAACTCGGCGCGGTGGTGCCGGGGGCCAAGTCGAGCTCCGCCCTCGCCTCTCGGGCGGCGGGCGCGGGGCCGCGGAGGACAGGGATCCGCGCGCCGCTCTTCCACTTCGCCTCGGTACGATTAGTCGTATCAATTACTACTGCTATCATCATACATACTTTTCGCAATCAGATTACTATCCGTCGTCGTGATCTTCGTACTACTGTTCTTGTAATGATTCGTGTTCTTATTCGTGCCCTTATTATCATTACTACTACTATTATTATTATTATTCCTTTTTCTTGTTTCTTCTTTTTATTGCTAACACACCAAAGAAAAACCCAATCATTGGATGGTTTCTGCTGAATAGATGAACTGGGAACCCGGGAGCCCGGGAGCCCAAAACTCACCGAAATCAGCCCAAAACCAATAACCGGGAACCCGGGAACCCGGGGGAACCCGGAACCGGTAACCTGGGAACCCAGGCTGCTACCAAAATCGGCGCGAAACTTTCGACAACTGTTTCAACTACTGCTAGTACCCCTTTAGTGCAAGCACTGTTTGGATACTGATTCTTACTATTGTTGGTATTGTTATTCGTCGTCTTCTGCGTCTTACTCCAATAATCATAATAAGTTTTAGCATTATAATTATTATTATTAGTAGTAGTATTCATATTTATTTATTATTAGTATTATTATTTCTATACTTATTATTATTCTTAATATTAGTATTATCATTATCATGATTATTATTATTACTATTATTATTAGTATTCCTAGTATTATTAGTATTATTGTTGTCATTATTATCATTCGTATGATTCTTATTATTATTATTATTCGGGGGATCCTGGCACCCAGCCACTTCCTTACGCAGCAAGATTCGGGCGACGCTGACGCCGACGCCGACGCCGACGCCGACTACGAGCACGGAGGGGGGAACGACCGACGCGACGGCCTGGCAGGGTCGAGGGACGCTTTTGGGAGCTCCTCTCGCTGCCTGCCGTGGCCACTCGAACACTCTTCGGCCCCCGCTCTCGCTGGGATTACGTCGGGCATGTCCCTGTACAGGAGGAATATTCAAGGCCGCACTCACCACTCATGCGAGGCGGGGGCTTGTCCGCAGCCACCGCCTGGGAACCGACTTCCTGGTGCCCCAACGGGCGGTGAATATGGACATACACCCTGCGAAATGCTTAAGAAACCATGGGTTAAGAAATTCATAGTCTCAGAACTGGACTAAAAACCCAGAACTTCTATCAAAATCTTGAGATTTACATTGAAACATTAAGAATAATCGAGACCCTGGCCGAAAATTGAAGTTTTCTTAAGCATCGCCTAAGGTGTATTTTGGCCCCTGGGGGACCCAATGTGTCCACATCCTCCGCGCGTGGAGGTCCGCGAAGATCGACTCCCCGGGCGGTGGCTGTGGACAGCTGGCCCGCCTCGGACCTCAACCGCTGCAACAAAAAAAACTAATCTTCCTGACCCCAGGCGCCCGATTTCCAACTGGCACCACGGCCGCGGGACACCTGCGTTTCTGTGTGATGTTCGCAAGGCTCGCCTTTTTGGTTTGAAGGGAGCACCTTCCCTTCTTCAGATTCAGATGTTTCTGTGCAAGTGTACGCGCCCTCCACTCTCCTCCTCCTGTCTCCACCACCTACTGTGGCTGTCGCTGTCAGCTTCCGAATTCGATTCGACCCAACCTCCCGTTCCTCCTCCTCCTTTTCCTCCTCTTCCGGGGGGCCGCGAGGCTGGCCAGCTGGACGCTCTGCGAAAGCGAGCCGTTGCAGCTCCACCTCCTCCGCATCCTTCATCTCCTCCATCTTTCTTTTTCCTCTTTCCATCCCCTCGTCCGCCTCCTCCTCCTCCTCTCCATTCCTGTTATCCTCCTGCTCCTGTTCCAGCTCCTGCTCCCCCTCCTCAACATCATCACCACCTCTATCATCCTACTCATCCTCATCCTCCTGTTCCTCCTGCTCCTGCCCGCTGCTCTCGTCTCCTGATGGTCCTCTCCTCTTCTCCCTTCTCCTCTCTGCGCCGCTCCTCTCCTCTCCTCTCCTCTCCTCTTCTCTCCTTTCCTCTTTCCTAGACCTCACATATCTTGATTTTTCAGTGCCGAGTGCCAAGAGCGTTGGACAACTCCCTGGGGACCCGATTTCGTCCCGGAACAGTGTTTGACGGTACCGGGGCCTGGCGAGGGCCCCATGACGTCGAAAACGACGAGAATCCTCCGTTTGATTGTTCAATTGATTGGAGGATTGGGTCTGGCATGATGGCCCCAAAAATACTCTCAACTTGCCTCCACAATTCAGCAGGTCCCGACCGCCCCGGCATCCCCTGTAGGCCTACCGCGAAATCTTCTTGCAAGAATCACAAAAGCAATGTTCTTAGAGCAGGACAGGTCATTTCGTGAAAGCCACGAAAGGTTCGCAAGAGAGCCGTTGCAGCTCCACCTCCTCCACATCCTCCATCTCCTCCGTCCTTCCTTTCCCTCCTTCCATCCCCTCCTCCTCCTCCTCCTCCTCCTCCTCCTCATCTCCGTGAAAACCACGTTTGAAAGGTTCTTAGAAACTTGTTTGGGGACTATAGGCAGGCCAGGACGCCTCGCCACTGCTTCGACCAGGCCCCCCAAATCGCCTTGGGCGGTCTCAACACCTCAATTCCTAAACCCTGGGTCGCGGAGCCCTCAACACCTCAACACGTCAACACTGCTTCGACCAGGCCCCCAAAATAGTCTGAGGTGGTCTCAACAACTCAACCCTGGGTCGCGGAACGCCCCTGGAGAGCCGCGGGAGGCGGCGCCAGGGTGCTGAGACCGCCTGTTGCGGCCAGCCAGCACTGCATGGAAGGCTGCTAGTGCACAGCATGCAGCTTTCCCATCTGGGTCCTCCCTCCTCCTGCTCCTCCCACTCTTCCTCTTCCTCCTCCTCCTCCTCCTCCTCCGTAGCCTTTTGGCTCAAGCCCCGCTTGGGCCTTTCGGGGCTCCAACGGGGGTTGAGCCCCGTAGCCTGTCTGCTCAGTGGCGCCGCCCCGCGCGTGGGTCTCCTTCTGGGCGCGCGGCGGGCGGCTGGGTGGGGCACGTCGTTCGCGGTGGTGCGCGACGCAAAATGCGGCAGTTTGTCGGTGCCCAGGGGGGCCGTCCTCTCCCCCCCTCGCCTCCATGGGCCTCCCTGGTGGAGGCGGCGCGGCGCTGCTGCCCGGCGGGGACCGCCGGCTGGTGGAGCCAATGATCAAGGAGGCGTTCGACGTCAGCGGCAAGGACTGCGCGGCATGTGGATGTGCGACCTGGAGCCCGTGGCGCGGGCAGCAGCAGCAGCAGCAGCAACAGATGTGCGTCATCGGCGTGGTGTTGCACCAATGGGTGACTGTTGCTGTTACGGTTTCCGAGGGCGCCACCTCGGGTAGCCTTGGCGGCGCGATGGGGGCCCAGAATGGCCAGGAGCTGCTCCGCCTGCTACGGGGAGAAGGGCAGCCGTGCCAGGACATCGCACACGACGTGGACGGCAGAGAAGCCGAGCAGTCGGTGGCGCCCGTGGACTGCAGCGCGGTGCACGTGCAGGAATCGCACGTGAGCAACACTGGTGGCGCGAGGCGCCAGGGGGCGGCAGCGGGCGTGGGTTCGTCCCCCTGCTCTGTGGGCGCGGGTTCGTCCCCCCACACTGCCGCCCCCCCCGTCCTCAAGGCAAGGACGTGCTGAAGACGCGGCGGCCCAGAGCCAGATGCAGATGCAACTGGTGAAGGCCGTGCGTCCCATCGACATGGAGCGCATGAGCGGCGAGGTCGGCGACTGGTGGCTCATGCAGGGCAAGGACAAGCGCGGGCGGGCCGCTGGGAGGCGGCGCAGGTGCTCGCGGATCGCACGGCAGAGGCGTGGGCTTCAGCCGAGGCCGTGCGACAAGCGGACGCCGCGCGTGCCGCTGCTGCTGGAGTGGTGCAGCGGCGCTGGCGCGGCTGGCTGGGGCGGAATGTGGCTGCTGCGGCGCGCGGTGCCCGTGCGGCGAGTGCGGCGGCTGCGCCCTCGCCGCCGCGGGCGGCAGCCCCTGCCGTCAAGGCGAAGAAGGGCAAGAAGGCCAAGCAGGGCGCGGAGTCGGACGACGCGATCCTCTGCGAGGCGATTTGCGTCGCTAAGCGTGAGGCCGCCGAGCTGGCCAGCGCGGCCCTAGTGGAGTCCTTGGAGGCGGAGCTCGTGCCTGTCTTGGACACGATCATGGCGAAGCTCGGGGGTCGCGCGGTGTTCGCCGCTCTCGGCAGGCTCCGCGACGGTGCCCAGCAGGCGCTGGGCCAAGGCAGCTCCACGACCCTGGACGAGCAGGAGTGGGGCGCGAGGTTCCTGGACGGCGAGTTCGCCGAGGACAAAGACAAGGCCGCCTGGGTGCAGGTCGTCGCGGACACCGAGGACGCCCTCGGGTCCGACATCGACGGCTCTGGCTGAAGGTCGGCGTGGTGAAGGTCGTCGTGTTCGGCCTCGCGGTCGGGGGCCCTGTCCTCTCAGGGCCCTCGTGGTCGGTGGTCCTGTCCCCTCAGGACCCCCGTATGGTCGGGGGCCTTGCTCATCGGGCGGGCCCCCGCGGCGCCCGACTGCGCGTGTCGCGTGCGCGTGCGCGCGGGCTCTCGGGCGTGCGGGGGAGGCGGCACCGCTTCCTCTGTAGCTCGCGGATCCTCCTCCTCCCCCTCCTCCTCCTCCTCCTCCACCCCACCACCACCACCATCACCATCTTCATCATCACAATCAGCAGAAGCAACAGACCAGCATCACCATCAAGATAATCAAGATCATGATGACGATGGTGGTGATGATGCCCATCATCATCACCATAATGATCATGATCATGAGCAGCATCGTCATCAGCATCAGCATCAACATCATCAACAACATCGAGATCGTTATCGTTATCATCATCATCGTCATCGCCATCAGCACCGTCATCACTCATCACTGTCATCATCATCGCCAATACCGATACTGTCATCAACATCACGGTCCCCATCATCACCACCACAGTCATCATCAGCATGATCACTGTCATCACAACCACAATCATCATCATCATCATCATCATCATCATCACCATCATGATCATCATCATCATCATCATCAACACCATCAGCATCGTAATCATCATCACCGTCACCATCGTCATCACCTGCATCAGTTCCACCACCCTCATGCTCAACATCAGTATCGCCACCAAGATCATCATATCATCATCGTCGTCGTCATCGCCAATTCCACCAACAGCTTCATCAACATGATGGTGATCGCCACCACCATCATCAGCATGAACAACATCATCGTCGCCACGATCATCAACATCATCACCATCATCAACATCATCGCCATCATCATCATCATCATCATCACCAACATCACCATCATCATGAACATCATCATCAACACCAACAACGCAATCATCATCATAATCGTCAACATCATCGCCAATACCACAGCCACTACCGTTATAAGCATCACTACCGCCGACATCACCACCTCCATCAGCATCGTCATCACGATCATCATCATTGCCGTCATCATTATCATCAGCATCATCATCAGCATCATCATCATAATCGTCATCATCATCATGATCATCAGCATCATCACCATTACCACCACCACTGCCATCATCAGCACTACCATCGTCATCACAGTCCTCATACTCACCATCGTCGTCGTCAACATCCTCGATATCATCAATACTATTATCGCTGGTACTGCCACCGCGGAGATAAGCATCATGATCCTCACCAACGCAATTATCAACGCCACCAAGATCGCCTCCACGATCAATATCCCCAACATGTCCACCGCCATCAACATCCTCATCACCATCCACTGCCTCAATGGCATCATCAATGTCATCGTCAGATTCATCATCTCCAGAACCGCAACCACAGGTCATCAAACTCATGATAAACACCATCACCACCACCATCGTCATCATCATCCTAATCACCATGCCATCACCATCATGATTACCATCATCACCATCGTATGCATCATCATCGTCATCATCATCATCATGATCATGATCATGATCATGATCATCATCATCATCATCATCATCATCATCATCGGCAGCATCATCATCATCATCATCATGATAATCGTCCTCATCATCATCACCACTACCACCACCACTGACATCAAATCATGATCACCCTCACCATCACCAAGACAAACACCATCCCCATCCCCATCATCACCATCAGCAACACCAACACCAACACCAACCACATCCCCGTCATCATCCCCACCCCCATCCCCATCATCCTCATCCTCATCCTCAAAATCCTCATCATCATCCTCATCCTCATCCTCCTCATCACCATCACCATCATCATCGTCATCATCACCATCATCATCGTCATCATCATCATCATCATCACAATCATCATCATCAGCATCACCGTCATCATCGCCATCATCATGAGCACGATCATCATCACCATCACCATCACCATCACCATCACCATCACCATCGCCATCGCCATCATCACCACCACCATCAACTTCATCATCATCATCATCACCATCAACTTCCTCCTCCTCCTCCTCCTCCTCCTCCTCCTCCCCCTCCTCCTCCTCCCCACTCCGCCCGAGCGGCCGTGGGGAGCGCAGAGCGCCCGCCTTCAGCTCCCTGACGCGCTCGCGCGCGACGGGGCGTTGCTGCCCGAAGGCGGGCGCCGTGGACGCCTCGACGCGCCTGGGGGCGCGGCGGCAGCTCGTCGGGCGCCGTCGCCGCCGCCATGGGTCGGGATGCGTGCGAGAGGTGTGCCAGAGCGCGAGGCATGCGAATCCCGTCGTTTGGGCCCTCTGTGGAGCTGCTGCGGGAGGGGAAGGGGGAGGGGGAGGAGGGGGAGGGGGAAGGGGAGGGGGAGGAGGGGGAGAGGAGGAGGAGCAGCAGGAAGGAGGAGGAGCAGGAGCAGGAGGAGGAGGAGGAGCAGGAGGAGGAGGAGGGGGATCAGGAGGAGGAGCAGGAGGAGGGCCACGAAGCGTCGTGCGAGGGCGACGCTCGCCAAGGGCGACGGCGCGCCTTGCCGACGGGCGGCGGGGCCGTGGCCCCTGTCGCCGGGGCGAGAGGTCCGAGGGCACTCGACGTCGTGCCTCGAAGCGCGGTGGGCGGGGCTCGCCCGGATCCAGCCGGAGCTGGGCCCCGCGGCGTCGAAAAGGGGGCACGGGGCGGGAGGCCTGGCGCGGCCTGGCGGAGGAGGGGAGGGACCGAGGCGTCGAGGGGCGGGGGGGCGGGGAAGGGGGGGGGGTGAACCAGACTCGAACGTATCCCTATCCCTGAGGTAGGCAAGCCAGAAGCGATGACGATCGTAGGGATGAACACTCAGAAACTGCGACACTCTTCAAAATCGTCGAGGAGATAAGGCGGTCCAAACATACGGGCAAGGACATGTTTCAGACCGGTAAATGGCCAGCTCGTCGGCGGCAACTCGTCGGGGGTGGTCCGTCGCCGTCGGCCCGGTCATCGCCATGGTGGTCGGATGGAGGAACACAACAAACACGTAAACATAGACTTAGGTCGGGCACGTCCTCCTGCAGGCGGATTTTGGACGAAGAATCAAACATATTCACAATATGCTCAAACACTGTCACAAAATAAACCAAACCTCGTCCCCTGACTGCTTTTGACCATTTGGGCAAATTCCTCCTGTAGAGGGACAAGTCCGACTTAAACGTAGACATAAACTGTCGGAGCCCCGAGCGGATTCCTCCGATGGGCGCTGGGCCCCCCTTCGCGGCGCTTCCATAGCTGCCCCTGGCGAGTTCCGCGCGCCGGCGGGGGGGGGGTCCCAGCGCCGATCGACGAACTCCGCGCGGACCTCCGCCATCTTATGTTCATGTCCTTGTTTTTTTTCGAAAGGAGAAGGAACGGAAACAGACCCCTCGCGCTGCGAAAACAAGAAAACGTCTAACAATTTTGACTGTTTTCTGCCGCTGAGGGTCCTCGCGGGGCCCTGGGAACCGTCCAACAAGCGCGCGGGATGAGACGCGAGTCCCAGAGAATGGGTAGAGACCTCGGGGGGCCAACGTTGTGAAAACACCACGTGGGTGGTCGGTGGACGAGGAACAAAAGTAGGAACCGACGAGAAGAGACGAAACTGAAGAGGAGGTTGGGGAGGAGGAGAAGGAGTAGGAGGAGGAGGAGGAGGAGGAGGGGGAACAGCAGCGTTCGCGACTTCCCATTCTTGCCATGGCCCTCCCTCGTCATCCCTAATCCATCGACGATGTTATACCTCTCTTCCTTGCGGACACGTAGCTCTTTCTCATCGCACCACCAGGCTTGACGGTGTGGCGCGCGGGGAGCTTCGCCTGAGACGCCCTCGCAGACTTCAAGTTCCCACTTGCGCGGGTTGAGTGCGGGGTCGTTCTGGGCATCAAGTTCTCGCCATGGCGCGCGCGCGGGGGGGCAACTTGTGGACCTCGCGCCACGCGCGGTGTTCTTATCGTTCCCAACGGGTGGACGGATGGAGGGTGGGTGGTGTTCTGAGTGTTGTTCGCCGCGCACACACGCGCGTGTGTGTATATATATTTGTATATATATATATAGACGCACATATATATATATACACATACATACATACATACATACACGTATGCATATATGCTAGCCCCCCCCTCCCAGGGGACCCCATTTTCGCAAATGCAAGCCTGAGAGTTTGAGCGATGCTTGGTAACGCTTCAGTCGTATCCTTGCTCACTGTGCCCAGCACGCGGACACAGATGGCGGGCTGTCCTCACAAAAGTTTCGAGATCATGTATCCCGTGGCCCGCCACAAGCCGCGGCCCCGCAGCCAGTGGACCCACTGGGCGGGCCTCGCCCGATGGCGCAACATGTCGGAACCGACAGGCGCCGCCACGCCCTCCAGAGACTGGCGCAGGTGCCGCCAAGCGCGGTCAACGATCTGCGCCCCAGCCTTCACCTATAAGTCGCCATCATCAGGGGTGCTGTGCTTGACGATCTTGGCGAAGCTGGGTTTGATCCACATGGCGTATTCCTTGATCACGACGCGATTCTTCTGATGGACCGCGTTGTCGTGCAATGCGCCGTCCATCTTCAATTTGCATGCCCTCGCCCCGTCCGCGTGAAGCGTGACCTTCCTGGACTTGAGGAACGCGGCGGCAATCGGCACCCGATCGCGCTTCCGTATACTTCTTGTGCCAGGGGCGCGGCGAACCGTATTCGACGATTCAAGGCGGCAGAGCACCAGGGACGTCGGGTCACCGCGCTCGACGATGCCGCCCCACTTCCGCCACGAAACCAGTCACCTCGGCGTCGAACTCCTCTCGGTCCGTGCCGCGCGCGAATCTGCGCGACAGGAAGTCGCGCAGGCTCTCGCGCATGTCCCGCGCCAAGCCCTCCGGCGCCGTAGGCGGCGGGACGCCGCTGACGCCGTCGAGGGCAACCGCGCAGTGGCTGGACG